AGAGCAAATGTTTGCAGAGGCAGTTCTAAAGGTGACTTTGCAACAAGGGGAGCTCTCTCCCTTAATTTGTCCTTCAGAAAGATCACATCTAACTGTGGTGAGGAGGGAAGCCAGCAAATAGGAGCACCTCCAGGCTATTCCCTCCATCCCAAGAACAGCCAGAATTTCCATCAACTCAGCGATGGAAACCTGTAGAGTTTGACTTATGTATGTTGTCTGCTTCTGCCGAGGCTCAGCAGAGCATGGAACAGCCAATTAAGGATGCAATCAAGCTGCCAAAGCCCAGGAAAGCTAACTAAAAAGCCACTGGGCTGTTTTCCACCCTGCCTGTCCCGCTGATACAGGTACAGGCAGGGCAGCTTTTCCTGGTTTGGATTTAGCATCCAACAGAACACAGCCAAAGAAAAAGGAAAATGTAATAGTGGATCATCTGGACCAGAACATGGGGTCTCCTCTCCACCAGAGTCGTATGTTCACCCCCTCTTGGTACATCTGAAACCTCAAGCTGGGCTTTGAAGTAGGCATCTCCCAGAGCACAAGTGTTTGCTGTAGCATTGTGTTTCCCCTCAGCTGTGGGAAAGATGATCTGGGCAAAAAGAAATGAGGATCTGAGCCGATGTGCTCCAAAACAAAGGTGTGTTTGTTCAGAGGCAGGGAGCACCTGGTGTGAAAATACAGTTATGCCCCACATGTCCTCACTACAGCTGCTCAGAAGCAGGTTGGAAGAGATGTGGTCTGGGCAAGGGGACATGGAGCAGCCCATGATGCCTGCCTGCCCCTCAGCCTTGTATCTGCCGTGGGCAGAGCCTCAAAAGCAAGCTCTGGTTTTCTTTCTGGTGGGGAGAGGTGAAGAGCAGATGGAAACTGCCTTTCAAAGCTGCAAAAGTGATATTTTTTTGCCTATTTTGTCCGCAGTGCTGAGGCATTCAAACCAGAGCTGTGCTGCAACCCAAGATTCAGCAGCACACCTTCATCCCCACCAGCTAGTAATGCCCCAGCGCTGTAGCTTGTCAAGGGGAAGGTCTTATCTGTGAGTCTCTCCCTCCTCAAGACCCTCAAAATTGGCTCTGTGACCCGCCCCCTCCAGCAACAAGGACATTGCTGCCACGGTTGATGTATCCTGGCAGGAGCACAGGCAGCAGCTCCTGCCCAGCACTCCCTCTGCACAGCCAGCATTGCACCTTACCACAGCCTCGCACATCTTCCAGTGACAGCCCAAGCCTCTACATATCCTAAAACACATCCCAAGAGAAAAACAGGAGGTGGCAGCAATTTCTCTCCTCCCTGGAAGGTCCATCATTCCTGTTGCTGGGGTGCTGGCAGTGATGTGCACTGGACAAAATCCAGGAGCCCGGGAATGCCAGTGCAAGACAAACCAGCCAGAAGAACCCTCAAATGTGTGCTCCTGACGTGATCCAGCATCTCCTGCATCTCATACTGGAGACTCAGACGGACCCTCCAGATCACCCAAGTATCCAAAAAAGCCAGAATCACTTTGGAAATCAGATCCTGACTGCTATCTACAGGACAACCAACCTCCAGTCTTGCTGATTTCTTCCATCAACTCACTACCAAATCACCAATCCTCCTGCCCAGCCTGGAGGAAGCTGGGCAGTGGTCAGGAAGCAAGGAGGGACTGGGACACAGAGATGACAAAAACAAGTCTCATCCCTGGTTTTTTGGGAGAAGAAAAAGCTATGATAGTCTGCCCACCCCAGGAAACTGATCCATCATCATCCTTTGCCTCTGGAAGCATTGAGACCAAACTCCAAAGGGATCATTTCTCTGCTCCTTGCCCACCTGGCAACCAGTGGGCCACTTCCCACTCCATGTCCCTAGGTAAGGTTTCCATCATAGCACACTCACTGGAGCAGCCTTCCAAGTGCTCTCCATGGGTAATGCTGGGGGTGAGAAACCGGCCTGCAGGAGTCTCCCAGGCTGCAAAAGGCTCACCCAAACCTCAGTTCAAGTTGAAAAGGGCAATACTTCTTCCAAGCAGGCAGAACACTTCTCTTGCAAAACCTCCCAATCCTCCAAACTTCCTGTTTGCTCTGTGTTTACAGGATGTCTGGGAAGTGGCTGGCACTTTGTTTGCCTTCCTGGCGTACCCTGGAGCAAAGTACAGCAGCATCCCCGGCTCGACAGAACCAGAGGAGCAGCTTGTCAAGTGTTTCTATGAAGCACGAGAGACAAGCAGAGAGAAGTGTTAGGAAAACTGCTTAATTAACTGAAGCTTGCACCTCTCCCCCTTTCCCTGAAGCATGACTTTGCAGATCCGTAACCTGGCAGATTGGCTGTTAACATACCCAGACTGGGGCTGGTAGCACATCATGGCTCTGCTGCCTGTTTTTTTTAATCTAGAATGGAACAGGGAGCTGGAAGAAGAAAGATCCCTGCTCGGAATAATGAAACTCAGCCCAGATATCCACTATAATAGGAACAAATGGGAATTTTGGGCCCACAGGAACATCAGAGCAGTGAAACAAGAGCTGGCAGAAACAGCTACAAAAGGCACAGGGAAACTGCAGTTCTGTGACCTAAGTGACCATACAGCCAGGAACCTTGTCAACAACTAGAGCATCCTCCTGCTAGCAGGTCAAGGGAGGGGATTCTCCCCCTCTGCTCCTCTGTGGGGAGAACCCCCCCTGCAATCCTGCCTCCAGCTCTGGGGCAACACCACAAGAAGGATGTGGAGCTGTTGGAGTGAGTTGAAAGGCCATGGAGATGTTCCAAGGGCTGGAGCCCCTCTGCTTGGAGGCAGGCTGAGAGAGCTGGGCTTGTAAGGCCTGGAGAAGAGGAGGAGACCTTAGAGCACCTCCAGAGCTGTACAAGGAAAGGCAGTGCCGGGCTTGCCTCTGCCTTCCCGAGATCTGCGCATCTCCTCATGGGATCCGTATGGGATCAGTCTGAGGAGACTTTAGAGGAGATCCACTGACTGAAGGGGCTCACAAGAAATCTGGAGAGGGGCTTTTGATGAGGGCCTGAAGGGAAAGGGCAAGGGGGAATGGCTTTAAACTGACAGAGATGAGATCTTAGGCAGAAGTTCTTCCTTGTGAGGGTGCTGAGGCCCTGACACAGGTTGCCCAGAGAAGCTGTGGCTGGCCCACCCCTAGCAGTGTTCAAGGTCAGGTTGGACAGGGCTTGGAGCAACCTGGTCTAGTGGAAGGTGTTCCTGCCCATGGCACGGGGTTGGAATTCGATGAGCTTTATGGTCCCTTCCAATCCAACCATCAACAATTCTATGATCCCAGGATGCCAGGATAACAAATCCCTTCCCAGTCAAGCTACTGCTTCTTGGATCACAACCAGCACCACCACCAGTCCCCTTCACCCATGGGACTCAAGCACAGCGAATATCTGCCAAAAGCCCTGTTTCATCACAAGTGCTCACTGGCAGTTCGTGCCGTTCCCATTACTCATGTGGACATGCTATAAATCAACTGAGACAGGCAATTAGGGATCTATGTTAAGACCCTTATAAATATGTATTGTACAGCAGCCTGGAACATTCTGCCATCTGGCTGCTTGATGGGCTGAGCCATCTCAAGACCTACAGTGGCCAAAGTGTTCCCAAATTGCTCCATGGGCGCCTGACAGACTCTGACATAAACTTGGATTTTTCTACCTAAACCACAAAGTGACGAACTTCACGCTGGCATAAAATGCAACTTCCATTTATTTACCATAATTGGTTTCAAACTGGTCTTAAT